AAATTTATGATTGCCAATCGTAGCCACAGGCGACTTGCCCGTTGCCCATTTTGGAGTTTTGATCCATTTAGAATGATAATGGGTGGATCCGTTTGTCGGATCTTTCCATTTCCCGTTCCTCACGGCGTCAACAATCCGTTTCATTTTCTTGTAGTCGTCGTTCAATGTATTTTAATTGAGCAGTTTATTTTGATTTGAATCATTAATGTTCCACGCAGAAAACTGGTATGGTTTTAGACAAACATCTTTCATAGTATTTTTGTATTTTTTCACTCGATTTAGAATCACATGAACGACCGCCGCTTGTCCCTCCTCCGATTCGCCATGTGCCTCACCATAGACTGTACGAATAAGTACATCTAATTCGTTGAGTTCCCATGGATCGGATATGCGTTGTTTAGGACGTGTGGTATATTGCGTCTAGAAACACATAACACCGCTGAGAAAGAGTAAGAAAGAGCACGCTATTTGGTAGCGGCTGCAGGAATGACATAGAGAAGCTCAACCAATTGTAAAGGATATTTTTATCCTGTGAGATAGCTTTTAGTCCAACATTGAAATACATTTTGTAGAGATTCAAATAGATTCTGCAGATTTTGGCTAAATTTTGGAGTAAGATCTATGTTTTAAGGTTACAAAAACTCTTCACAATTGAATAAGGCCAGCTATTTCACTCCTGACGCCGCCACTATTGCAATTGTTACTTCGAGTCGGAATTTTTACGTCAAACGTGCATTCACCAACTTCCTCTATCTGGGAAAAAGTTTATACAATTTTCCAATCCATGAACAATGTAAATAAATGAAAAATTTGTCGTAATATTCTTATTACAAGAGATGTATTTAGTTTTTTCAAGACATGTATCAAACTAAAGTTTCCCGAGGTTCAGAATTCCAGATTTCATCAGGCTCACAGGTCAAAATTCTTATCACATATCAATTTGATATAAAGTTGACAAATCTATTGAAAACCAGGACTCAAGCTCGCATCGTTATGAACCGTGTTTTTAAAAAGATTCGGTATGGTAGAAGTGAGTCGCAGGATTTAAAATCACCACTTTTCATGGGTCTGTATTTCACGAAATCGTTCCCATAAACAGTGACCTCTGAATACCTTTGAAAGTCACTATTAGTCAAACCGCAGTAACCACAATCCGAACTTAGTTTTTTTTTGACACCAACCTTTTCTATAACCTGTCACCGTAGTTTTGATAGATGGAATCGTGGTTCGATCAGATACTGTTTTTTTTTTACGCAAAACTTTTCTGATTAAAATAATGACTTGGCTCTCTTTTATCTTAAGAAACTACGGTTGTTATGATAGAAGGATTTTTAAAATGCAAATAAAGTGTTATCACCTATTTGAATCGAATCGCAATATTGAGATCAGGGTGTCATTTTCGTGTTAATTTAATTTACGAACAAATTAAATTAAAAATAAATAAAATTGACATGCCCCGAATGAGTATCTTGCGAAAAATGTTTCAAAGACTGAAATGAAAATTTGAAGTATGTCTCGATACCATAAACTCTGTCTTGACTCTCTTTTCAAGAACATTCTGATGACGCGTAGGCTCTTCCAGCAGATTAGATCCTGTTCGTTGAATGAAAATATTGCATAACACATAGTTTTAGATAAATCTACTGGTAAAATCAAATAGATTTCTTACGGAAAGTGTCATAACGAAACAGAATAATTTAATTTAATTTAATTTTAAATTTAATAAATTACAATATGAAAATAGTTTAAATTGATTTTAAATTTAAATTACTGTTAATTTAATGTACGAGTAAATTAAACTGAAGAAATATGTATTTTAACGCCCCTAGTTGGGATTGAATTAAATAACTGTATAAAGTGTCGTTTAGAGGGAAGAAGCACAGGTATAAAAGGTATAGATGGCTTTGTTGTTTAGGTTGATTGAGCCGAGATGTATAAAGGGTGGGGGTGTGGCTAGGGTGTGGGTGGGTGTGGGTGTCGATGAAGGAAAAATGCCACCCACACCCACTCCCACTCCCACACCCACACCCACTCCCACTCCCAC